CTCTCTCTCTCTCTCTCTCTCTCTCTCTCTCTCTCTCTCTCTCTCTCGATCCCTTATCTTCTCCTTTGGCTTTTCTAAGCAATGAACATTTGAAAATCACTCACATCAATTCGAACTTCAGTTGGCGATAAAGATTGCTTTTTGTTATTTCGTAGCCATAAAAATTTGTTGCCCAAAACCACCCTTAAGTTTCAATGTATAATGTATATTCGAATTCGAATGCTTAAATGTTCACAGAATTGATTTGGTTTTGAAAAGAGAAGAATTGCTGATGAATTGATCGATTTACTGTTTTCGATTGAATTGACAAATGACTAGTCATAAGCGGCATAAGCTCTTTCATACTTTTTTTTCTTACACACACATAGCACACACTTTACTCACTCTTTCTCTTTTACATTCATTCATTTGAACGGCTACAGCTGAACCGTATGCATAAACAAACAAGCACACCGAAAAACAAATAAACGAAAATTACTCAAACTTAAAAGTTCATTTGAAATATATTTCGATGTTTGGCATTCCGTTCGACAGCGTACAATTTTTGATGAAAATTGTCTTCGTTTCATTCGGGTTGAAAGTCCATCCGTTCATTCACATGCAGGCCCGTTCAAGACTTCTTTTTTTCTCTGGTCTTCTTTCATTTTTTCCCCCCTAAATGATATGCAAACTGTCAATATATGACTTTACGACGGCCGTTAAATGTGCGTGCGCGGAAAAAGGTTGACAACAATGAAGGTTGAACAAAGCATTTATCACATTTGTTTTTGTTGTTGTTGTTGTTGCTCGTTCGTTCGTTTTTTTTTGTCACTGCTGATGATGATAATGATGATTCGTTTGTTTTCGTTTGTTGACGACACCGTTGTGTAAGAAAATGTGTACATACAAATTGCGACATTGATTAAATATATAAAATGCTTGCATACATGGCCAGTGTTGTTCAGAATTCTCGCTACCACGGTACATGAGTGTGAATTGAGTTGATGGTTGGCCGAATAAAAATTGCGAGGATAGAAATCGCATTGAAAAAATGTAAATTTTTGGTATTTCGCTTGTGAGAGAAAGAACTGAGGACAACGAACGACATAGCATGAAAAATTAAAAATGAAAAACGCAAAACAAAACAATAACAAAAACAAAAGTTCATAATAGCAACAACACTGAATTCAATTAATTTGAATTTGCTATGCCCATGAATGGAATGAATTTGAATTGCAGTCAAACTTGTCAAGCACCCTGCCGAGTCATCCGAAAAACGTTTGCTTTAGAGGTGTGTGTGTGTGTCTGTGAGTATATTGGTTTGTTGGTTAGCCGTGTTGATTTGCATGTGTCGCATGGGGAGCCTACAACTCACAAACAACAATTTTCCGAAATGATATGTGTGCGAGTAAATGGTTATGTGTATAAGTGCGAGAGCATGCGATATTCAGCATTGAATTGGTACGAGTGTGAAATACAAATGTATATGCAGGTCAAAAGCAATTTGGCAATGATTATGGTGTCATTTTACTGTGCTTTTTGCATTAAATGGATTAGAAAAGCGAAGCCGAGCAGAAAATGATGTGCGATTGGTATGCAAAATTGTTTTGGCTTTTTTTTTGTGTGACCCATTACCATCACTATACGCTGAATTGATACGATGTCATTCATAAATTATTTACGCCAAAATCGTGCACCAAATGATTGGAATTTCAAATTGAAATCGAAATTGAAATGGCACACAGGCCAACCAATTTTCGGCAAACAAAAAATACGGTAATCCTCTCTTTCACATGGAATTGAAATTTATGTGCGCTTTTTTTTAGTTTTAACACTCATGTTTTCAATCGCATTATATTGGTTTGGTGTGTGATTGTCTTAGACAATGTTTTGCACATACCCATACACACACACATACACCTATCGACCGAGACAGTGTGCACAGGCGCAATTTATTTCTTTTTTTTTGTTGTTGCTGTTGCTGTTGATTCATTTTCCTAATCCAACTTTGGCCATTCGACACATTTTGCTATCATTCACCCGACTACTACTCATGAGTAATATGTGTTACACAAATACAATAGGAATGGAAAAGGAGTGAGAGAAGAAAAAAAAACATACATAGCTTTACATCATCTCAATGGATGGCCACTAATGATAGTTTCATGTCTCATTTTTATTTCACTTGAAGTGTGTATATTGTTGGTCGTCGTCGTTAGCTGTGTTGTGCCTGTGTTCTCATTTGGTCGGTAATGCGACATAAGAAGAAAACGAAATTGACAGAAAGCCACCATGGGGGCCAACACATATAGCGAAAGCATGTTGCCGACATTCAATTGTTCATGTTTGCAACGGTTTCACTCTTTTTATTCATTTTTTTTCTTTCGTTTTCCAATTCCGAGAGCGAATGCATTTAGAAAACATGGTCTTTCGAAGGAAAAACGCATGTGTACTTTTCACCAACACAAACACATGTCAACGACGAACAAACCAACACAAATGTGCGACAACCTATTTGACGTACACGCATTACACATACACGACAAGCGCAACATTGACATGTCAACTTACAATGTAGGCGCGCAAGTGTGCACTCCATAAACAGTGTGGAGTTTTCCATATGCGTGGCTGTGTATGCGTGCGTATATGAATCTCTCTCTCTCATTCTCTGTATTTTTGGGGAACACCAGTTCGGATTTTTTCAACACACTATATCAAATTTAATTGGGATTTTTTTTTCTATCGTTTGCCGTCGGTCATTCCATTTGAAACCCCTTTGATTAGCACATTAAATAGAAACTAACTAACCAAAAATGTATGTGCGCTCGCATTCATTCCATTTAATGTGTGTTTTTTGGTCGACGATTTTATTGCAAAAAACAACAAACGTGTAAATGTAAAAATTTAATACTTGCATTCAAATTTCTGGTTTATATTTTTGGCGCGCGGGGAATGTGTATTTTTTTTCTCTTTCCTTTCTGTCTCAACGTGTCGCTCGCAAATATTGTACAACAAACATACACACATTTTGATTTTAATTATGCCAATATCGCCATGCGAAAGCAATTACATTCCAAACCTATAATCACAACTCGGCCGCGCTTCCGCTTCTGGTCATTTAATGTGTATGCAAAAGCTCGCGCTCACTAAACACATTTACTTAAAACAATTTACATGTTTTCATTTCATTTAATTTTATTTTAATTTGTCGCTTGTTTAAATTTTTAATGAGACTCGATGCCATGCAAAAGATTAATCGCGCAACTGAGCGAATGAATGAGCGCGCAAATGGTTTGACCTCAGCGCACAAACCACACACCATTACACGCACACGCATATTATCAACACATCACCTCGTTTATTTCTATATAATAATAAATTAATAAGCTGCGCGCACACAGTCAATTCCATTTAAAAAAAAAAAGTTCTCAAATTGAATGAAAACCTCACAGCAATAATAATAAAAGCGCTTCACCGTGATACAAATATTTTTGTATCCTGTTGCCAATATGAAGCACATTGACTCCCAAACCAACAACTAAATGTAATCAGAAAATGTGAAAGAAGAAGAAAAAACGTCACTGAACACTGGTGCATACATTATGTTGAAAATATAGTGAGCTTAATCATTTCACATCTTATGTATATATTTACGAGTATATATGGCAACGCTCTGTTTATTGCTCGATTTTTTTTAAAGAAACAAACGTGACGGTAAACTTTGCGTGTAGCCATATGCAAATTGGCCGCACTTAATCCGCGTATTACAATGATTTCAAATGCTTGATGCCAATTTTCTTCAGAAAATCCCGAGAAAAAAAAACATACACACACATAGCGAAAACACTAAAAAAATAAAAATATGAAACACAAACATGAGAGCTTAAGAGGATATATACGACGAAATTTTTGTAACAAATCAGATTAAAATTAAAATCGTCCACGCTGAATGCAATTGTGCTGTTTTGGTTGCATGACATATATAATCATATAAGCTTTTGCTCACTCGCTCGCTCTATCGCCCTACATCTCTCTATCTCGCTTGGTGTCACCAGTATATTACTTAAGGTTTAATCGCATTTATGAAATCTATAGGCGAACAATGACATAGTAGCTAAATTGATGATTAAATACTTGTGGTTTGGCATGTTTTTAAATTAAGCTGCGTTTTAATTGAGAAATATTGTTGAATTCAATCAAAATTTACTATGCCAAATATTTTTACTCTTTTTTAAATTCCATAATCGAATTTTATTCGCATCTTACAAAATCTACAACTATCATCAATTCAATGAAAATGACATAGTTTTTCAAATGCGATACGAAAATAGTTGAAAAAGAGCCATACCGTTCTACAGAAATGTAATTAAATTATCAGCATCAAAGCGATGCCTTTGAAAGCATATTACGCGAGTCGCTTCATTTAGGCGCACATTTTACTCAAAAAAAGGTGTACAAGTGCCACTGATGCAAAAAAGCATAAATACCTTTGATTTTATTCTTTTGTAATTCGATTGCGTTGACAATATTAAGAAACAATTTTCTCTCGTTCATTCGGCTGGACGGTTGCTTGCTATCCACATTAGTATCTATATATAGAATGCATATCGAAATTCGTTTCGTATCCATTGGATGATGATGGGGAAATGGGGCGCTATAACGTTTTCGTATATATTTTTTTTAAATAGGATTTTCAAATCACCTCGTGGAAAAGGGATTAAGATAATTCATAGCTGAGTTAAAAAAAAAAACACGAAATGAAACGACTTACAGTTAAACAAAATTACATCAATGTGAATATTATACAGAATTGCCGTTCATTTTGCTATATATTTCTCGGCGTCTCTTCCATTTCTATTTCGGATTCGAGTTCCATGCTTCTTTGTTCATCAGCCAATATTAATAAGGAAATATGTGTAGCATTTTTCTTTCCATTTCGTCGAGTCGATGTAGATATGACGAAATGACTATAAGCTCCAAGATTTTACCAAATATAACGTAACAAACCAGTAAAATCACGCAAACATTGACAAAATCTAAAAATTAATGGAATGTTCAAATAATAATTAATGAATGTGCCCTGTCTGTTTTGCTTATGTTTATTTTTTTCTTCTCTGGTTCGTTTGGAAATAAATGAGAAAGCAAAAGACGCAAAAAGCCATCGGGAGAGGAAGAGGAGGAAATAAAAGGAGGTAGAGTGGTTCCGGTCGCTCATATATGATTGCTCCTTTTTTATATTTCAGTGGATTTCCATTTTGGGTGACGGTGATTCGGAAGTGAATTAATCAAATATTCTTTGAGCTGTATATGTTGTTGGCCATACCATGTTGTACATACCTTGTATGCATTATGTAAGAGAAAGACATAGTAAAGCAAGTATAAAACATGCATACATCGCATCGTATATAAGAGTTTATTGGAGGTCGTCGTATAATATTGTTTTTATTGTAGATATAAAAAAAGTGAAACGAACATGGATTTATTTGCTTCCGTCGATTTTTGCAATTTTCTTCAACTTCTTTTCATTCTAAGATTGCCCCACTCTCTCTCCCTTTGCCCCTCTGCCACTCTTGCGTTCATCAATTTTTACGGTCGATTCATAAGAAAGCGTTTATCTTGAATGACACATTCGGTGTTTTAGTTTGGTTATAGCTGTGATTTTTTTCCTCCATTAAAGATAAATTTTTGTGTTTTTTTTTGTCATTTTCTTTTCATATTTCCAGCTTCTTTTTTTAAATCAAAATTGATGATGATTCTTTCATAAATGACGTACAATAATAACACTGACTTTATGATACAAAATTGAAGCAAACAAACGCAATTAAATCTTATGATAATGTACGTTTTACTTTCAAAATTCATTGGCACTTACTTGTCTCTACCACTTGTCGCACGTATACAAATACATGTTGTTCGCTTGTTTGTTTGCACAACAAACTAATGAATGAGAGCGAAATTCGTCGAGAATTTACTTCTAATTATTGGAAGTGATTCGATAAAAATAATTCGGCGCAAATTCGGCGAAATGACGATTTTTATCGAATCGAGCGCGTGTAGAACCAATGCATTTTCAACAAACACGAATTAATTTCAAATAAAATGTCTATCGAATAATGTATCACACGCATTACAGTGTAAGTGTGCGTGTGTATTTGATACGAATGAACTAAGCTAAAAGCAGTGAACTGTAAAATAACAAGTATAGAACTGAATTCCATTAAAACAAATAATTCAAAGCCGAGTAAGTGAACATAAACGACAAACGACGACAATGCCAAACAAGTGAGTGAGTGCTTTAATTCACTTCTAAGTAATATGATCACTTATGGAACTTTTATGGCCATAAAAAAAGTACATTCTTATCTTTTTAACATGGTGCACGCATCAATTGCTAATCACAGTATGGTTGCTTTGGTCCATTGATGTGCACATTGTATATGGAATGATTTCAAAATGTCGTTTACATTCACAGTTTTTACGTTATTTCGTTGTGTGAGATTGGTTTCAATTCAAAAATCGGACACACGTCTTTGATTACAGTTCACGAAGGTAATTTGAGTTGGTTTACTTTTTTTCGTTCCATTCGTTTCGTTTTTCACTTTTCACTTGCTTCAAAAACGACGAAGAATACAACAAAAAATACACTTTAATCGCATTGTCCTTCGATGAAAATGTGCCAACGACTTCAAAACAGCCACCAAAATTTTTGTAAATACTTTTCTCGATAGACATAACTGAACAACGAACACACAGTTCAATTAATTATAAATGCTTTCATTAGAAAGTATTTCAAAATTTTCTCGCTTTTCATTTTGAATCGTCGCGCCGCGTTCAAACGGACAAACGCTGCTCGACGAAACTTGAATTTTATTCTTGCGAAAGCAAAAATAACTTGAATATTTTTTTTTCTTCGGAAACTTTTTTTCTCGTTTTTGCTGTGCTATTATATTGCTGCTGCTGTTGGACACTTTGTGCATTTGTACCATTGGATAGTATATAAGAAAATACATGCCGAGAATAACTAGACGAGAGAGTAAAATAAAATCGATAATAATACAATCAATTTTATGTTCTTGTCTTTTGTAGATTTTCAGCAAAAAAACCAGAGAAAAGAAGCTACAAGCCAGCAACCGCCAGAGCTTCTTAGAGAGAAAACGCGAATCGAATGGATGAAGCAAACGTTATATTTTTCGTACCATTTAAATTGTTTATATAATAGTTTGCGTGTGTTTGTGTGAGGATTTCATTGTGTTGTGTAGTTTATTTTTTAAATGCACAACAATTGTACGAAGGAGTAAAAAATAATTCAGATAGAAAATCATAGCGGTCGCAAGCAATTACGCGAAGTGAATTAAACAACCATCAAACACACGGATAAAAAAATATTTTAAATATAGTCTTGTAGTCGATACACAACATATAGTAAATAACCAACGCCTATCAAACAAAAAAGCAATATATATTTTTTTAATATTTTGTGTCATGTGTGAAAAATTTAATTGTGGCAGATCATAAGCGGAACTTAAACTAAAACCAAATTTTCATATTGGAACATACAAAAAAAGAAAGAAAAAACGAAAAAAAAAAACGATTTAGTCCAAAGAAAATCAACAACAATTAAAATTAATTAAACGTAACGTGGAAATTCATGTGATTGAGTGACTCGCGCGTACAACGAAACTATTGTGACACGTACACAGACCACACTACGTTAAATAAACAACACGATTACGCACAGCGGAATTGGAGGGGGTGAGCGGTGTGTTTGTTTGTGTGTGAGTGTGTGTTCGTGTATAGTGTGTACGTGTGCGCTTTTTGATTTACAAAGCTCATACGAATTAGAATTGGCTGCTGTCAAATAAACACATTCCTACCCAAACAAAATGATCGATCCAAGCTCAAGTGAAGAAGAAAGTGATGAAGAGCAAGTTGGGGTATGTATTGCGCTTCAATTCTATTTTTCGATTAATTTTCCACCGAATGGGTGTATGAGATTTTTCTTTTTCGTTTTTCTGTTTTATTTTTATAAAATAAAACACTCTCTTTGAATGATGCATATTATGTCGTTTTGCAAAATCGATTCAAAGTTGTTGAATGTCAAACACACATGTATTCGATATGCAATTGAATAGGCGATGCCTTGAAGTTGTGCCTATATTATTTCGACATAGAAATGTTTTGACATACAATATACTCATTAAACCTCTTTATCATAGCATCATCATCATCACCATCATGCACCAAAACATGCGGTCGGTGGTAGCGGAAGCAATCATGGGACGATTGGTACATCATCGACAACACTGGCTGGTGGTAACATTGGCAGCGCAAGCACGCTTAGTAAGTCGTTTTTGGTTTGCTTCCATCATATACGTATGCATCATATAAATTATTAATTTTCTATGTATCTCTCGCCCCTCCCCCCAACCCCTCATCTAATTTCTCGATTGATGTACATCCAAATAATACTAACACATGTGCAGGAAATAATTTTGGTGGTAGCACAGGTTCTGGAATTGGAATGCATATCCATCACAATTCATCAGCATCTGAACATGGCGGTAGTATTGGCGGTAGCTCAGGTCATGTTACACCGCAACATTTAGCTAGCAATCAGCAATCGCATACAAATTTAAGTATGGGACATCACCATGCAATGGGACCAGATGGCAATGCAGCGGCGGGGAAACACGATGATAGTAGAGATATGTATCAACGGCCATACCAAAGTGCCTCTGGCAACAGTGCCGATTATTCAACGGGTGGCGGTAGTTTAGACGTATCGAATAAGAAAATTGCTAGGTATGTCATCGTTAGCAAAATTAATTATTAATTTCATTCATTCACCATTTCGTCTGAAATGATTTGGCTTTATTATCCCATTTGATCAATTGGCTGTTGACACATCGCTTTTCTTTTCTATTTTCAAAAATATAAAAACAATCAAAATTAATTTTCGATCGTATACCACAAAAAAAAAAAACATTTCATCACATACGCAAACAAAAACACGAATCCCATCCACATAACAAATCAATTCGACCGAATCGAACTGAATTAAAACTGAAGGAATCTATCGCCTATATATAGTATATCACAAGATAAAGTGAATCAGCAATCAAGCGGATCGTCACGTGTGAATAATGCGTTGCCACGACCAACGTCACCGTCTCCGTCCGTTGTGAGCGAGAAAAATGAAGGTGAATTACAAGAACGACAGGAGCGCGAAGAAGAAGATCGAAAACGACGTATCCAATTGTATGTGTTCATAACACGTTGCATAGCATATCCATTTAATGCCAAACAACCGACCGATATGACGCGACGACAAGTTAAGATCACTAGACACCAACTCGAAACAATCACATCGAGATTTATTGCCTTTCTGAAAGGTGACACACCAATCATGGCCGATGAAGCATTCCAAAATGCCGTACAATCGTATCATGATGTATTTTTAAAATCCGAACGCGTTGTCAAGATGGTCGAGTCGGGTGCATGTTCTCAGCATGATTTCCGCGAAGTATTTCGAAATAATATCGAGAAACGTGTCAGGTAATCTATACTACCGAATATTTATTTTACCTTTATTGGCCAACGTGTCGCATTTCAACGCGACAACTAAATTTATTATATTGACATTGTTCACTCTTGCTCTCTCTTTCTTCATTCCTTTTGCGGTCGCTCATTTTTTTTTTTTCATATAGGTCGCTGCCAGAAATCGATGGTCTTAGCAAAGAGACGGTGTTAACATCATGGATGGCAAAATTTGATTGCATTCTTAAAGGAACGGGCGACGAAGACTCGAAACGACCGTCTAGGATGCAACAAACTCTTAATAGTGAGTCGATTTTACCGAAGGAACAACTATACGATATGTTTCAGCAGATATTAGGTGTCAAGAAATTCGAACATCAAATTCTTTTCAATGCATTAATGGCAAGTATCTTTATAGGAAAGATGATAACACTTTTTTTACACGATTTTTTTCTGTTTTTCTTCTTTTCGCATTTTATATTCAAAACGTATGATAGTTAATATCATTTTAATAACCATATTATCGTTTATTTATATTTGGTGAATAGTTGGACTCTGCCGATGAACAGGCAGCTGCCATTCGTCGTGAGCTGGATGGTCGTATGCAGCGTGTCGGTGAAATGGAAAAGAATCGAAAATTGATGCCAAAATTTGTTCTCAAAGAAATGGAATCACTGTACATTGAAGAGTTAAAAGCATCGATTAATTTGTTAATGGCAAACTTAGAATCGTTACCGGTTTCAAAGGGATCACTTGAAACGAAAATGCAAAAGCTCAAGAAATACAACAACAATACACCGTCATTTTTGTAAGTTTCATGCACACTAACACCGATTATTTTCGAAAATTATTTTTTTTTGCAATTTTTTATTGAACACCACCATCTAACCGGCAACACCAAACATTGCTCTGTAAGTTTTTTTTGGTTTCCCAACAGACGAATGATTCTGAGGTCACAAGGTTCATTGGCCCGTGATAGTGATTCAACGGATGGTGATCAAAATACCCTTACAAAAATGGATGTCGTTCTAACATTTCAACTTGAAGTGGTGGTAATGGAAGTGAAAGGCTTAAAATCGCTTGCACCAAATCGAATTGTATACTGCACGATGGAAGTGGAGAGTGCCGAAAAGTTACAAACTGATCAGGCCGAAGCATCAAAACCAATGTGAGTGCAGCATGAAATAGTGATTTTTATACATACTGATTTGGTTGTTCGTACATTCCATAGGTGGGATACACAAGGAGATTTCACAACAACACATCCGTTGCCTATTGTTAAAGTGAGACTGATGACGGAAAATCCGGGCATGCTTTCGCTTGAAGATAAGGAAATTGCCAAAGTGACTTTACGACCAACACCAGTCTCGACAAAAGTATGTTGACCAAAATGCACAAACCTTAATCTTATTTTGAATTTTATTTTCTTTTTTTCTTTCGTTTTCAACACCATGAATATTATATATGCTAAATTATTTAAATAAATATTTATATTTTGTGTGTGTGTGTCAATAATTACATTTAGGCACCGGAATGGCATAAAATGCACATGAATAAAGGCCAAACTGACGATCTACGAATAAAGATTGCATGTCGCATGGACAAACCATTGAATATGAAGCATTGCGGACACTTGTATGCAATCGGTAAATCAGTGTGGAAGAAATGGAAGAAACGATACTTTGTACTTGTTCAAGTGTCACAATATACATTCGCAATGTGCAGTTACAAAGAGAAGAAGTCTGAGCCATCGGAAATGACAAGCATGGATGGTTTTACCGTGGATTATATCGAACAAGCTAGTGGTAAATATACACATTAAATAATAGACAAAATGGAAAACGTAAAATAAATACATTTGTATTTTTAATTCGTTTTCAGCCAACTTAATGGTTGGAATGGATTTAGATGGTGGTCGATATTTCTTTAATGCGGTGCGCGGTGATGGCGATAGCATTTTATTTGCATGTGATGATGATTCTGAGTGTAGCTTATGGGTGATGGCAATGTACCGTGCAACGGGACAATTGCTGAAGCCAACACCACCGTTGACTCAGGATAAAAATCCAACCATATCGAAAATGGTTGGCGACGCAGACAAGGCCCGTAAACATGGCATGGAAGATTTTATCAGCGCTGATCCATGTACATTTGATCATGGCAATCTATTTCGCATACTACAAAATTTGACATTGGATTATCGATTAAACGATCCGTATGCATCGTTGGGTTGGTTCAGTCCTGGTCAATTGTTTGTGCTTGACGAATATTGTGCACGATATGGCGTTCGCGGTTGCTATCGTCATTTATGCTATTTGGCCGATCTACTTGATCGTGCCGAAAAGCATATTATGATCGATCCAACATTGATACATTACTCATTTGCCTTCTGTGCCAGTCATGTGCATGGTAATCGACCAGATGGTGTTGGCAGTGTATCACACGAAGAGAAGGAACGCTTCCAAAATATCAAAGAACGTTTACGCGTTCTACTCGAATATCAGATTACCAACTTTAGGTATGTATACGGATTTTTCGTCTTCATTTTTCCATTACAAAAACAATTTACCATCCGAAATGAATATTCCCGACGAGGCTTAGGATAGAGAGGCCAAGAGAAAATCTAATCGAAATCCAAACAAATTTCTTGACATTTTAGATACTGTTTTCCATTCGGTCGACCGGAAGGTTCATTGAAAGCCACACTATCACTGTTAGAACGTGTTTTAATGAAGGACATTGTGACACCAGTGCCACCAGAAGAAGTACGTTGTATGATAAAAAAGAGCTTAGAGACTGCTGCATTAGTTAACTACACACGGCTATCGTCCGAAGCAAAAATCGAAGGTAATTTAATTTTCTGTTCAAAATGAAACAATCACTATGTAAAGCTCAATGAGTGCTCACGAAATTGAACCATTTATGGGATGTGGAAGAAAAACCTTAGTCGTAATTGTCACACATGAGCATTTCACATAAACCATTAAAATGCCATGGTACTTTCTCATTTGCAGAAGATTTACGCGGCGATGTCATTGTGCCACCTGCAAAGAAACTTGAAGACTTAATCCATTTGACGGAGCTTTGCGTTGATTTACTGCAACAGAATGAAGAGCATTATGCTGAGGTAAGTTCTATGCAATCGCATCTTATTCGTTATCCTATATCATCCGAATTGAAATGACAATAACACATAAAAAAATTCAGCACCATTTATATACTTGAGAAGACAGATTGTTTGTTCATTTTCGTTTATTCGTTGTTATTTCTTCGGATTTTTCTTTTTACATCCAGAAAATGGTGTTATCGAAATATTTTATTGTTTTCATTTTCTTCTTTGGTTCAATTTTTTGTTTTCTTTTGTGTTCAGATTTATTGTCTATGTGCATTGCCTGAAGTCGGTATGTTTAAAACAAAAGATGTCTTTTGTTTTTGTTGTTTAAATGTTTGATCGCACATCCTTGTGTTCAATCGTGACAGAATGTGATCGACAATCATTTTTATAAAAAAAATCTCGTTAAATGTCCCTGTCAAACAAATCAACGAATTGTATTCAAATGCAATTGAACATTTTATACACATTCTATGGCATTTATTGTTTATTTTTTGGTGTCACTCTCTCTCTCTCTCTCATACACAGTTTTTTTTATTATTATTTTGTTTTTGGTTTTAAATCTATTCTCGTGTGTGTTGTCTTGTGTCTTCTCAAAATATGTTTGCTCTATGATGAAATACTTTATATTATAGATGTGCAAGATGTGTGCATCCATAATCATTTCACTTTTGTAATGGAATGGAATGGAATTCTACTTCCTATTTATTTGATCCGAAACAAAAGCATATATATGTATATTTAAAAAACAAATCCGTGTTGTGTTATCTATATTTGTCTAAATGTATTTATTTATTACACTTAACAAAAAAGCGACTTATTGCTATTTGTGTTTTTCAATAACAATGACTGCCGTGTTACAAATATCAAGTGAGTAAACGAATGGATCGACAAATAATTTACACATAATTATATGAATGATTCGCGATCGCATGCTGAACATTCATGCAACGTACGCATACACACTTGATATTTTGCAACCGGACGCCAATGTGCCAATATGACTTTTTTGCATAAAACTGACTGAACATAAATAAGTGTTGTTGTCGTGTTTCGATGTTTTGATTGCCGTAAACTATCCTATTTTTTATATACCTATTACATACAATACATATATCTATATATAAGCATATAATAAATATTTGTAAAGTCAATCAAGAACTATATGTTTCCAAAATATCTGTGCCAAAAACATTATACTGAATATATTTTTCTATCCTGTAATAAATAGGAGAATTTATCTAGCAGTAGCGCCTGTTTTGTTTTTTCGAGAGCATACGTCCTCAGCAGGGGTCCGAGGGGTCCGATTACTCCCCCCTGACGAAGTGTTACCACTTGAAAATTTTCAAAGAATTCTTTCAATTTGCTAGGGATTTTAACCAAAAAAAGTGAGGACCTTTTTTTTTTGCTCTTCAGTTTTTTTAATTTAGGAAAAATTCTTTCAATTTGCTAGGATTTTCGCCAAAAAAGTGAAGAGCAAAAAAAAGTACACTTTTCGCAAAATACACTTCACTTTTTTGCTTACCCTTCTCGAATTTTTTTCAATATCCCCCCCTTCCTTAAATTTTTCCCTTGAGGACGTATGTTCGAGAGAAAAAAATTCACCGCCAAAATATATTGAAAAGTTTTATACATTTATCCATTTCAAATAAAAAAAATATTGACGATTTTCAAAAGACGTGACTCTAAATCAGTCCCTTACAAGCGCACCTGAATACGAAAAGTCAAAATACGAGTCTTTATAGTTTGCGCCACCTTCAATTAGTTTGGTAAACTAAATTTATTTCTAATGCGTTGGAAGCGAAGAAGAGAAAAATACAACAACAATAAACGCGGCTACATAGAGCTTTTGACCAGCGAGATATGTATAACAGTGTATTCCAGTGTTAAAAGAATGGAAAGTACGTATATGGTAACTTCCATACAATTGTTCTTGTTTTTTCCTCACTTTTTCGTTTCAATACTACAGAAATAAATTTGCCGAACTAATTCGAGATGGTGCGGACGATTGAGACTCGCATTAGAAAGTCTCCAATATATATGGCTTACCTACTTGGCTTCCTTATGAGCACCAGTATTTTCGAAAAAATTAATTCAATCCAAAATTTGATATTTGATGCAAACATTTAATCCTAAAAAATAATATTACAGTTATGGTATTTCAATTCCATACTATTTTTCCCACAATATATAGCTGGGCTCTATATTATTTTGGGGTACAATTTCTTTTTTGCATCAAATATTTTGGAACCCTTGTTTGTTGAACATCTCATTCAAATGTTTAAAAATGACCCTTGTTAATTTGAGTTGCTGAGAAATAATGAGTCAATATATTTTCAAAAATCCCTTTGTCCACGTGGAAGAACACACAAATCTAACGATACACATATACTCACTTTTCGTATGTTTGTAAAATGTTTACTTCATCGCCGCTTCAAAAATTCGAAAAACATTTTTTTTTAAATGTTTAGAGGGTGTTTAAATGCGTTTCTCCAAAAATCACATAGCATGTTATTGAGCATTAATACTAGACGGTCAAGATCAAAACATTGACATCCCTAAAGAAAAAATGCAGAAATACTTCAAGGCGCCACTGTCAGACAATTTACCGTACATTATCCAAAGCTAAAATTACATTACACATACAATAACAATTGAAGGAAAATGACATCCGTAGTGCACAATATTTGCGGTGCCAAACATCAGAAAATTGGACACATTCAAATCTTCTTGAATAACACTCAAGTACAAAAAAAAAATAACGAAAAACACTTCACATGGTTGAAATTTGATTCCATTTAAAAGGAATTCCAAAAATTAAAATCGTTCTACCAAAATTCATGTACTGTCTCAATTCGTTTCAGAAACGCAAATTCCAATTTTAACTGCATCACACTGACAGCCAAACACTTTCCAATTCAGCATAGTATCCATTGATGCTAATTTCCTTTTACTTAATTTTTTAAGTTGAAATTAATTGTTTGACCCAAAAACCATGCAGTATTTTTTTTTTATTAAAACAGTCTTTTTCATAATTATATGAGAGAAAGCTGATATATATGTCAGTAATGAGAGTTCTACGATCAATTTTGAGCCGATATTTGATATATATAGCCGGAAATTGAGCAGTTACCGCATGTTTAATCACATCAAATTAAAATGCAATCAAATACGTTCCCGCCCTATTATTGATGATAATAACATAATTCTGTATCTGTATAACCCAAACATGGCATGAAAATTCATTCAACACATTGTATTGGAATGTAGCGCAAAGGCCAGTGTTATGGGAAAATACAACAAAAGTTCAGGTTGTTCAGATTATTTCTCTGTGTTTTAATTCATCTCAAAGGTATGATTTGCATTTAAATTGTGATTGTATTTTCATCGATCAATGAAAATGTACTTGGTATAGATACAAATTGGAAATGCGAAATTATAATTTCGAAGGAAACATTTAAAAAGGTGTGAGTGTTTGTTGGGCTTTCATTTCATTGATTCGAATGAAATTGTGTGCTTCACTTTGTGAATTCAAAATTCAATGAGCCTTTCAGATTTCGCCGTTGTTGGTAAAACATTTAATATTCAATTATTATTAACGAGATAGTATTAAGTATTGTTTTCTCGTCTCTTATGTGTTTTTGTTCCTCTTTTTTAATCTTTTCGAGTTGTTTTTGGTTCAATTGCTCAAAATTGTGTATTATTCAGTTGAAGGGTTTTTTTTAGCAATGAATAAATGACGAATCGAAAAGATTGAAAAAGCGAAAATGTTTTGAATGATACAAAAAAAGGCGGTCATTTAATCAATTCAATAGATGAATATTTGGCGTCGATATATAAACATATCCGTTGTGTGGTAAATGGAGTATTGAGTGGGAAGACATAAAGAGAAAAAAAACACGTTTCATGTATGTTGGAATTCGTTTTAAAGGGAACGACCATCGACTACCGGCCAAAATTCGAAAGCAATTTTCCAAATGTCATAAAATTTATTAGTAAATCCTTTTCCTGGCCCAATGTCCGTTTCGGTTTCTCTCCATTCTTCTGCGTCTTTCATTCTACTTCTTTATTTATAACCATTTTCGTGTCCGCATAAAATGTCCACCAAATTCAACTGTGCGGCTGAGGCTACTTATCAACAAACTATTATGTTCCATTCTTCTGTTCACGGGATTTTCATATGGTTCAAAGTGGAATAAGCTTTTGGGTTTCCCTTTTTCATTATTATTATTATATGTGCAACATCTCAACTCTCAACACTAAATGTATATCGCATGGAATTATACCATATAATAAAATTACAAAATAGCAAAATGATTTTGTATATTCCATTCAACGCTGCATGTCGTGTAAATGTGTTTTCTCCATTGCCATCTCGTTTGCTGGTTTTTCAGCTTTATTTTCCATAAGTGAAAATCTAAACAGGATTCCGTTCTCATTCTCTCAACGGATTAATAACATAAGCTCATGTGCTGAACGTCGTTATTTTCAAGGAAAAAAGAACTAAGGAGTTTTACTAAAAATCAAAATTCTCATAAAACTAATATGTTATTCTACATTACGCACATTTCGTTCCAAATAATAATGTGCCACACAGAGATAAATTGAACCCGAGACAGACGAAGAGTGTTGAAAAGAGAAGAAAAAAATATTCACGAAACTAACGCTTTCATTTCGTCCACGAGAATGGATAAACAATTATAAAACCGAACAAAAGGAATATTTTAAAGTGTTTGCCTGAGTGCCAGACCAATTTCAGTATGCATTTATTTTCTGATGAAAGTAGATGAGATGTTAAAATTGTGCGCATCTCTTTCGATGCCTTTTATTGATACTCCATTCAACTTTACACGAATGCCAAAGAATGCGGTTATTTGTTGAATGCTGGCTTTTAATGCGACAACTGTTAGACGCGTGATGGTTTGCAAATGCAAATACGTATTTTCCGTTGATTAAAGCACATAGTTGCACGAATTTGCAAAGTTTTTTTTTCTCCTTGTAAAGGGAGAATAGAGAAGCTGAATAGCAAAAAAAATATATGGAAAATTCGTCTTGTCTTAAGTCTTGACGTATAAATTGGAATTTTTCTGTTGCTTTCGAATTTCAAGATGAGAGCTCAGTGTACGTGATTTTCTGGTCTTTCATAAGTTGCCGACACCGCGTGCGCTCTCATACACAAACACACACAGACATCGAATAAATAAAAATTCGACTTTTTTTCGTCAACATTCAATCCACTAACGAGATTTATCTGTCTCCAATTTTCATGATCAAGAATCAAGGAATCGAGTATAAAAATGACAACGAAGAAAATGGAGAACAAAATCTAACACAGAGCACAAGAACCGAAACCATAAATCGAAAAAAGAAAATAACAAACTTCAACCCTAATAAAATATTGTTTGTCACACACAAAAATACACAAACACACACACACACACAGTCTTGAAGAAGTTGTTCTCTCCGTTCTGTTGCCGTTTTTTTTCTTTTTATTTTTGTTGTCTCAAACTTTGTCATTTCATCATCCACTCAATATACTCTTTTTTTAGATCAACCATTCTTTATGAAAACAATGTCTTCCGTATAATTTGATTTTATTATTTTATTCTTTGATTTTATTGTTACTTTAAAAAAACAACCAAACAAAAAAGAATAAAGAACAAAATCTCAAATCATATCCAAATATCATATAAAATAACTCTAAAACATTATTTTAATATGTATGTATATTATTATACCGTATGATGTGTAGTTGCGAAAGCCAATACAAAAAGAGGTCATCGAAAAACCCAACTTACAAACAATAGATGAGCAAAATGCGCTAACAACATCTGGTGAAAGTGGCGACGGTGTTGGAAAAAATCCTACCAACGACGCAAATGTAAACGAATTTAATTGCAAACAACAACAACAACAACTACTACAATTACTACTACCACCACTGCTACACACCCAACAAAACAAAATGAATGAATATGATGACGAAATAAACAAAAAAAAAAGACGAAAAAATTTACCGATATTTTTGGTTTTGTTTTGTTTTGCTATTCAAAAGCGATTCGGTGCAATCGAATGCAGCGGCTGGTTGTAGAGTGCGCGACATGCTGAGCACGTCTCAAAATACCATTTGAACATTGTGAACGCATTGCGCGCAACAGCTTGGTGCTAATAGAATTAGCGATAATGTAATTCGGTCAATAATTGGGCTATATATCGAGCAACAATTTTCGTAAATACCAAGAATTCACTTACTCATTGATATATCAATTGCAATGCGAATGTAATAAACCGAAACTCGTGTGTCGCAATAACGAAAACTGATAAGAAGAAAAAAATGAACAATATGATCAATTACGCTATCGCTAAATCGTCTACCCACACCGAAAATTGCATGGTTTTTTACTATTATTTATTTTTTGCTCTCGCTCTCGTGGATTTTTTCCTCTATTTTCATGAGTGACTCACTCATTTACTACTCTCTTTTCAATTTGGTTTCATTCGAACTTTATTTGCCAACACTTGTTTTTTTGGGCTATATTTTCATCTATGCTATATTTTCGAAGTCGAAGTTTTTTTCAGGCACATGCCATTTTTACGTTTTGTTCTTTGTAGCAATCTATCTATACGTTCATTTCATATTCCATATAATGAAGCGTACAATTGCTTTTTTTTCTTTAGTGTTGCTGGTAAACAAACGAAGTTTGCCTTTCTGCGTGCATTTTGGCGATTGTTTTTTTTTTATTGTTGTTGCAAAATTTTGTTTTTTTCATTTTTTTTTTCTCACGTTTTGCCGAACAGCACACATAACATACGCTGCAACAGCCGGAATCGAATAAAGAATTCTATTGGTGTTCTATTGAATTTACACTTGAAAATGTGAAATAAAAGATTAATAAATTCAAACTATTTCCAAATGTTTGTATCATCGAATGCGTCAAAATCATTTTCCAAACCAAAAATTGGCATTTATATATGTATTGTAAAATGTACAAATTGCGCTGCACACACATACACACACAAAATAAAATCGCTGCAATATGGGTGCGCATTCAAGCATACCAAAATAAAAATTCGATTTTTTCTTTGGTTTCGTTGGATTGTTGCTGATGCTGTTTCACACATGCATTTATTTGTATACATTGTATGCTGATGGCTTTTTTTGAGTTGGATTCTTTATTCGCTTTGTATAATGCATATCATTAAATTGTTTCTGTGCAATTGACGATACGCAAAGAAGTCCATGTATCGCACATTAATCAAACCATTTTTTTAAAAAATAAACGATGATCAAAATTTAGAATTTGGACGAAAATTAGAGATCTTTTTGATTGGAAACATAAGAATCAATATTTTTTAATATTTTTCTACTTCAAAAACACAATATATTTCTGAAGTAGTTATAACCTATTTGATCAATAACAATATGATCCATCACATTGAATATACACACAGAGAGACACATATTCATAAACTTATCTCAATTTGCACCGAATCAGAAGCATTTAATTTCTGTTTACAAATAGTATATGCATGAAGATTCACTGCCACCAGTTTGACACATGAACCACTTTTTTATATTTGTCAAATTATTTAACATATTATGAATGCGTTAATTTTTGTGTAGATTGGACCGTTTATTTTATTTTTAATTAGAAATGTTCTTGTTTTAGAGATTTGCTAGGTGGGCTTTTGTTTATAGAAGCCCATTGTCACTTAACTTTTCGTGTGTTTTTGTTGTAGCTTGAAAGATCATTGCTGTAATATATGTTTCGTTGTAAAATTATCAGAATCTCTCAAATTATAAACCGAACAAGTGTCTTTTTTTGTCAAGATAGATGATTCTATGTAATATTTTCGGTTTTTAATTTCGGCGAATCTGCTCTAAATGTGCTCTTCTTTATTATAAACTTTGATCAAAGTAATTAAAATACAAAATAAACGAATTGGCATCAAAAATCATCATAAACAATGTAAATCACATCCAGAGAATCAGAATCACAAAATTATTCAATCAAAAGCTCATTTCAATGTTATCTGTGGTTTCATAGAAATCAGCAGAAAATATTTGTTGTTTGTATCTATTGTCATTTTGCTGTCACTTGCGAATCCAGTTCGACTCGCGTAGGCCTTTCATTTTTAATAATAATTGTACACAAGCCTATTTATATTACATACTGCAAATCTTTTACTTTAGAATTTCATTTTCATGTTGAGTTCTTTTTTCGGATAATTACAATTATAATTTTTGTTCACATCCACGAAAAGTGAAATATTTAAGATATATTACATGCCAGCTGTATTCGATCAGCTATCAATTCTAGATAGATTTTTTTTTCTTAATGCAATTTGCTTCTTTTCAAAATACGAAAAAAAAAACATTTTCTCAATACAATTGGAATTATAATCTGACATTTTAATATAAATATGATTTTTCTTTCTTTTCTTTCGATAATTGGGTTTTTTGCATTTTTGCTTCGAATTAATGCATACACTCGCGTTCGCTCGCTAAACAAACAAATGATGCAACAATGATGCTTGCGCCGGCTATTTAGGCATTTGCATGGTTTAGCGATTTACTCGTTGAACATGCAGAAATATTTTGGTCACTGTTTGCTGTTGATATGGATCGTGTATTATCTGAACAACCGCCAGACACCTGGGACTCTTTTCCACTATTCCAAATTTTAAATGATTATCTACGGACAGACGGTAGGTTTTCCATCTTCTCTCGCCGAAATGTTGTGAAGTCAACAAGAACATGTTCTTCTCCTTCTCTCTATCTCTTTTTCACTGTATTTTTTGTGTTTTTTTTTTTGTTTTTTGTTTTTGGTGTTGTTCTCTTTTACGAACACCTATCTGTGTGCGATTGGTGATGATCGAATAAATTGACTAAAAGAAAATCGTTTCTATTCATTTTCAATCATTAGACAATTTGAAAAATGGTCGTTTTCATCAACATTTACGTGATACATTTGCACCGTTGGTCGTACGATATGTAGACCTAATGGAATCATCAATAGCTCAATCGATTCACAAAGGTTTTGAAAAGGAACGATGGGAAAGCAAAGGCAATGGCTGTGCAACATCAGAAGATCTATTTTGGAAATTGGATGCACTGCAATCATTTATACGTGACTTACATTGGCCAGACGAAGAGTTCCGTGAGCATTTGGGACAACGATTGAAATTAATGGCCTGTGACATGATTGAGTCGTGCATTCAACGGACTGACGGTGCATTCCAATCATGGCTTAAGAAAAGTGTTACATTCATATCGACCGATTATATCATACCATCGGAAATGTGCGCCATGGTTAATGTCATATTAGATGCAAAAAATCAAAGCTTTAAACTTTGTGCCGTTGATGGTGTTGATGTGGTAATGTTATTGATTTTTTGTTTGAAATGCATAGAAAATGTCAATTCATTTGCATACATTTTTGTTTATTTTATAGCATCAATATCACGCTAAAATTGATGATCAAATCGATAAAACGTTGGCCAGCATGAATTTGGGCTTAATCAATAAATTGATGTCAGTGTTAGAAGCGTCACTTTCGAAACTATCACGCTACGATGAAGGCAGTTTCATTGGCTCAATTTTAAGTTTTACGGTATGTATGGTCGGTTTATTATAAATATTCGAATACTTTCGGCAAAGTTGTAGCCCTTGAAGAGACAAAAAAAATTATCACCAAAGGAAGGGTCAACGACCTCTCTTTGGAGGTAAAAATGACCCTAGTAACCCATCATGGCAATGACCAAAATGGAGAAGATGAGATTCCTCATGAAGAATTTCTCTAAGAGCACTATAGCTCCCGTACCACCAGAGCACCCTTGTACCTTGAAAATCGGGTCCAAATGTGGATGTTATGCACACCGAATTAACAAATTTTTGTTGCTGTCATGTTCTGTTCAGTGACCGGTTCGCGCATATTTCTATGCTTGCCTAAATACGCTAGGTAGCATAGATATCCCAAGCATAGCCGCAAACGCAACCGACGCATCGCCGTTCACTCTATATGAACAATACACATATTCGTTTATGCAGACGACCGTGCGCATACAATATAGCTCGAATCGAATGGCGACGGGTGCGTTGCGGCTTGCGTCTCCGCTATGCTTAGCATAGCTATCAGGCATAGAAATATGCGCGAACCGGTCACTGGTTCTGTTATTTATTTATTTTTCGTTGTATATTTAAAGAATGTGTCTGGCTCCGGCAAAGACCTTGGTCAAGGCTATGTGAATTTCGCGCGTAACAACATGGATCAAATTCGTGGTAAAATCAATGATGAACTTTGGATTCTAACATTTTTCGAACAATGGTATACATCACAAATAAATATGCTGTGCAATTGGCTGTCGGAACGTATAGGTCATTCGTTACATTTTTATCAGTGTACCTGTTTAGCACATATTGTTAAGGTAAACCAATGACTTTTCGCTGCGTAATTGCTCTGCGAATTATTTATCATTCAATAATAAATGTTATTATGTATTTAATTTTCATGTTGGCACACAGAAAATCTATTCGGACTTCGAATTACAAGGTGTAATGGAAGATAAACTAAACTCCAAGGCATATCAAACGGTATCGCAGCGCATGCAAACAGAAGAAGCTACCTGTGCATTGACGATGAACAATCATCCCGATGGCGATGAGTAATTATCTTCAACGCATTCTTTTTGTTGTTGGCAAAAGAACGTCAATGGTGCTAATCTCGTGTTTTTTCTTTTTTTTTGCTATTCAAGCAGCGCATTCGATGGAGATGATGGAACTGGAGCTGCATCGGTGGCATCGGCCAGTTCAGCTGGAAAAGGTACCCGAACACAACCGATTATGGAATCGTTGGGTGAAGATGGAAATATTAATATAAGTAATGTAACAAATGTGGTTGTAGGTAAAGTTGGAAATTTGTTTGGTAAAGGCATCGGTGGCATAGGATCAAAACTTGGTGGTGGTGGCTGGTTCTAAATAGACAAATATAAAAAGTGTACAAAAAAAACAAAACAAAAAAGTAATGAGAATTGAGAGGGATCGTAGATTGTTGATAGTGTTTAGGATAAAATATGGGAAAATAAACACCAGGACAAATCCAACACTTGACACTATAACACATGATACACAAAACACTCAAGCATCCTTACTCTCCCATCCAATAACAAAAAAAATATATGAGAAAAGCTCACTAGAAGACCCCCTAACACACATACACACTACACACACAATGTCAGCCACAATGCGAACACGCACTGCAGATGCCAACACAATGGACAAATATTTTGATATTGAAATACAAACACTTACACACAAACACTCTCCTACCCATACACACACACACACACACACATACATAATCCAAAACGCAGTACGTATACTCTATTTGCATTCAAATACGATTTTAAAAAAAAAACAATTATTTTTGTCTTGCATTGAACATCTTTTTCTCTCGTTCATAGAACTTTTTATACTTGTTTTTTTTCCTTCACATGCTTTAATAAAAAAAATTGTAGACGATTTAAAAAAAAACATCAACAACCATTTTTTGAAGGTGAGATAAATCTCTGAAACATAGTATGAAAATTTAAAAAAAATTAACATACAAACATGAAACTAAAACATCAAATATCTTATCTGAAGTAACAAAAGTCTAAAAAAAATTTACATGAAATATTGTAAAAACCAAACCAAACAATATAATTATAAATGAAGCCAAAGCCAAAATCAAGACTACTGAATGGAGAAAATGAAGTTGAACCATTTTACTGAATCGCAAAAAAAAAAGAAATCAGTATTTCTCATAACTCAGACACCATTGATAAGAAAAATTAAAGAAAAACAATAACAAAACAAACATAAAATAACACACATTTAGCCCATTATAATATTAAACAAAAAGAACAACAACATTTTAATTATAATTGTGATTAAATTTACTTCTTTCTCCAAAACAGTAACAACAAAACTTACTACTAACTTGCATATTTGCTTACTTAAATACTTACTTAAACTCTAACAAAAAAAAACAAGAAAATTTATAACCAAGCAAAATGATTCTTGAAGTGAGAAATTTCGAAGAAAAAAAATTACAAAAAAAAAGAATAAATATTGATAAACCAAGCAAATTTAGTCGCCAGGCAAATGTGAAATTTCAAATATAAAAACAACCATCAAATTTCGCTGATTATAAGAGGCAAAATATAGTATGTATACAAGGGAATCAAGTAGTTATATAGTACTTTGTTCCATCAAATTAATATTTATAGAAAAAATTGAAAGCGATATGAAAACTATTATTTAATTAGTTATTTGTTATGTAAATACACATAGCTTCTTTCGTGTTTGTTTTGAAGTGTGTTGGTGATGAAAAATTAAATCGATCAAACACTAAAATAAGTGCGTCAAAAACCTTTTTTTTTCTATATTAATTTTCTGGTTTATTCAATCGTTGTTAAATTGTTGACTTGTACGGAACCGATCTAAATCAAGAGGTGGCATTCCAGTATCATGATTTTACTATGCCACCGTGGTTAATCTTAAATCTGCACTAGTCCACAATTTAATCTAACGTCTTTTCATTTATTTTGGTAATGATCTCATTTTTAAACACAATAGTCGATAGACAATATCAAGACAGAAAAACCTCGAAACGAGCATTTGTAAAAATAAAATAAAGTGTTTGCAAACGATATTCTACTAAAAAAAAAAACAGTACAAAATAAAAATGGTATTTCGAAATAAAAGAAACATACACATTACATATTGGATTTACTCCGAATGAAGCAACAACAAAAATACAATAAACGAAATATATAAATGGTGAAGACAATGATAGCGATGACAATGACCTTCGAAATAATGTTTATTGAAATATTTAAAAAAAAAATTAGACAATTTACTAAAACAAATAATATGGCTTAGAAACATAGAGAACCATTTAATAAATGACATCTTTCTGGACTTGGAACTTCTTTATCTCCAGAGAACGATTCGAAACGGGATAACGTCGCATGGATATGGTATCACAAAGATTCTTTTTTTCAAACAAACGCAATCATTTAAGAAATCGAACAAATTGAAATTTGGAAATTATTGGGAACACACTCTATAGTCGATTAGAGAAAATGTACTGATTCGTCGATCGGTGTGCGAGTGAGCCAAACATAAATGTAATATATCATCGAGAACATCCCAGCCAGCAGCAGAAGCAGCAACAACACCAGCGTATTTATATAATGTATAGAATTGATAAAATAGACGATAAAGACAAATGCACATACTCGCACCACTCACACACAACAAACATACATTTCACTAAAACGGAGTTTTAGCACATTCAGCGCTTTGTACAGTTTGGATAAATAAATTGAATTAATACCGTATAGTACTATTGCTTAACAACAACACCAATAACAACATGAAAGAAGGAAATGAATGTTACGATTTTCTGCACACATCAAAACACACAATACAACAGCAACTGCAATAACAGTAACAAGATTATAAAAATTCACCAAAGCTATATATCGAACGCAAACACATTTTTGTTCAGAATGATGATATAACGATTAAGAGATCTATCTGTAAATATTGTTTTTGAACGGCAAAAAAAAAACACTTGGATAAAGTCATTTCAATAGGAAATGACTTTATTCCCTTTGTTGGGGAGTAATTGAAAGAAAACACTTTCAAAATATTGACAACAAAATGTGAAAATAAAATAGATAAATCGGTAAAAATCCCGGCTTGAGCGAACATTTGAAAAGGTTTTTCACTACAAATTGATTAAACCATTCACTAAGTTTAGCTTTCATTTTTATAAGAATGGTTGTAAAATTTACAAACACATACACACATTTGTAGCTTACAGTCTGTAATAAAAGTGATGCAAAAAAAATGGAAATGAAGACAAACACATCGAAACATGTAAATTTATTAGGATTGTCAGTAAGCATCTGACTCGAACGTAATGTGGTGGAATGTGTGTGTATAGAACATACTTTCGAATTAATTCAATTTTTTTTCGTTCATTTCTCTCACTTTACTTTTTTTTCTATTTTTGTTCTTTGCATGATTTTTATCAATTTATAATAGTAATCGTTGCATTATACTTCCCATTCTATCGCATATATACATATATAGGCTTTCTGTAAGATAACGACACTCATCTTCGTTCGAAACTTCGAAAAAGCCATAAAAAAAAACAAAAAAAAATGTTTTGGCAATTTGTGCTTTCTATTTTACAGAGCATCTAGCTTTATCTATCCAGCTCCATCGTTTTCCAAATAGATTTCATAGGTTCAAACATGTTAGCGTGTTTAATTGATTTAATTTTTGTCTCTCATATTCAATATTGAAAGTTTATTTTTTGTTTTTAAGATGAAATACGTTTTACACCGGACATATACTTACGGTTTATTTTACATAATGCTATTGAAATAGGAAAATTGTATTTTTGTTAAAAAACAAATATTTAACAGAAAAAGTGTGTTTTGGATTAGTCGCGATTTTCAGCCATAAATGGCAACATCCCAAAACAATATTTCAAAAACGTTCTCTATACTATATATGCAGTCGACATTAGACATTTTCCATTTTAAATATACAAATCATCAGCACATCAAAACATACAAATGAACACATACACACAGACACACAGTGAAGTATTTAACATGAATGTGTGAAGCGTTTGGTAAATTATCGAAAAATAACACTGAAGCAATTGCGAAAAGCAGAACATGTCGCATGGATATGGTATCACAAAGATTTTTTTTTTTTAAACAAACGCAATCATTTAAGAAATCGAACAACAAGAAAAGAGAACTAAAAATGAGATATTTAAATTTAAAAAAATGAAAAAAAAAAATCTTGCCTTTAAATATTTATTGAATAATGAATAGTGCATTCATAGTAATTTAATGAGAACATACAAATGAATAAAAAAAATAAAAAAATAAACAAAAATAAAATAAATAACTACGTTAAATGAATTTACTAATAAAATTGAAATCTTTAAAAGTTGATTTAAATCTAAAAACAGAAAATTGCTGAAAATAATGATATGCAACAATGAATATGACATAAACGGAAATGGTTTTCAATAAATGTTCATTATTCGATATTTTTTTGCTCGAATTTAATTGCGATGAATTCAAACCGCATACAATCTGAATACGCAGTTCGTATTCGGTGAAAATATTTATTCATATACACGAGCACTGACTTTGATACCGTAAAATCGAAATGTTACCAAAAAAAAAATGTGAGAAAAAGAAAACGAGAAGACTTTGACCTGAGGATAGCATCTATTTCATCTCTCAATGGTATAATGAATGTGTATTTTAAAGTCAATCACGTTAATGTTTGCTTCATTTTGTGCAACCGATCGCCCTTTTTTTCACTTTATCCTCAGTCATGACCCCCTACATATCCCTTTGTTCTTCGAATATAGTAGATAAAATATATTTCAATTTTTAGTAAACATTTTCTCTGTGGATCTTTCTTAAGCTCATTTCTTCTGTCGCTTTAATATTTTTGAATCTTGAAACCAGGGAACTTTATCTTGAATAACATTTAAATAAAAAACAATAACAATAAAAATACGTCATTGTTTCGACGAAATCAAATGAAGTAACCAATTTGTGTGAGAAAAAGTCTATATAGTTCATCACAATTGATGACACATTTTTAAATGAAGACGACAATGACGAGAATGTTTTGCCCAGTGAACTTATATTTCCATGGTGCACGAAATTTGACCGAATTGTTCTTTTTTTCTTCCACATATTTTTTACACCAATTTACCGCAACCCCCGCCTACAAACACACAAATTTATTTCTATTTATGCAACAGGCACACATACCGACCCCACCCCCCTCTACACATACACACAACACACACATACATACGCAAATTCCTCAAGCATGAAAATCTATATCTATTTTTCCAATGCAAAACCAATGAAGTATGTTATAAGCATGTAAATAAATTGAGAAAAAAAATTATAAATATTGTGTAGAAACAGAAAGTTAAAAAAAATGGCTAAGTTTTTATTTAAACAGCTTGTACAAAACCAAATCAGAGCTATCAACTGCAATATTGTCCATTAAATAAATTGCATTTAATGCATCGAGAATTATATGCCATGTGTTTAACACAAATATATGTTGACAAAATCATTTGCGAGAACCGCTGAATGTAAAGCGTATATCTTTGGATAGAATATCAAATGGGATCATTCCAGTTAAAATATCACAGGATATAGCTCCTTGTATTTCTATCAAATTTTCTAGCAAAGACCGATAATATATTGAAGCTGGCTTATCAGTCAGCTCAATATATTGTCTGTGCAAAGATTTCGCAACGCATTCAATTAATACAGCAAACGATATGTAAGCAAACAAAAAAAGACCAACACATATTTAAATTAGAAAATGTCGGTTTACGTTGAGATATTCTAACATTGGCTTTTTTCGCTCTATTCTCATTTAATTTTTATTTCTATAGAAAATGGCATTCATAATAAAACACTGATTGAATAGAGATTGATGCAAACGTAATGAAATATATCGAAAAACTGTTGTAAAAGTAACAAAAATTGAAAACATAACATTTCGTCTAAAAGTTGATAAAACATTTTTAAAATTGACAACTTAAAAAGAAAAAAAAACATACACAAATAAAACAAAATGCATAAAAAAGAAGTCGTAATGTAAAGACGATTCATTTGTTATTTAGCTTTCTTTGTTGGATCGTCAGTTAAATTTAAACTTTTCTCAAACATTTTTTTGAATAAATTTAATTGAACAACAAAAAAATATAGTTAAATTTTTTAATTCAATAAACATTTAGAAATGAAAACAAAAACAAAAAAAAAAGACAAAAAATAAGATAATGAAATCAGGACGGAAAATATTTAGACATATGCAAATGCTCAAATTCGGGTAAACAAAAGATGATCACTAAAATAGCAAAAAAAAAAAAAACGAGGAATAAAATGAAACCATAGGACTTTGGAGGTGGGATGAAAGTTTACAGAACCACCCTCTGTGTATAAATGAAAATAATAACGTGTTACGAATTGCAAAGATACATGGAAACAGAATGATAAAAAGAAATAAAAATAACTGTAGGTAGATTATATTCAAATAAAAAGTAAGAAAAAGGAGAAATGGGACATTTTTATTTTCATTTGAACAATTTCGTACAATATTAACTATTTACTTTGGACCATTCGTACAAAGTAAAAACACCTTATTATTTTCTAGTTTCCCATCGATATATTGTTATTGGGGCATATCACAATGGAAATGGACCGATTGAAAGGACCATGCCTCTTTCACCCATATTTAATCTGAATGGTTCGGTTTGCCACTGAATCCAAATGTCGCGAATCATAAAACTGCACAGCCAAACAGACAAACTGTCAGCGATTATCTATCACAGCCTTTTTTAAATTCAATAAAAATTAAGTATTGTCGAAATTGATGCAAATTTTGAGATTCCTCAAACCATTCAGCCCAATGTAATAACCGTTTGATGACTATGGATTTTATGCGACATAGATGGTACTTTTTGTAATCATTTTGCAAATTTGGCGCCATCTGACATTTCAATTTGGTAATAACGGAATGTCTAATGAAGACTTTAGAATCCCAATTATAATTTTAACCAAACCTTATCTATTTTATATTATTTCTTGGCTGCACGCAATTTATTAGGCAAACATACAATTCTCGTACAACAAATTAACGTCTGAATACTTAAGTAAGCGTGCGAGTGAAGGTCTTATATTCCATTTTAAACACTCAACCATTTTTCAGACCCATGGAGTTAAAGCTAGTGATATCGGTACTGATTTTTCTACTTTGAATCCAGACAATAGTTCGCAATTTTAATCCAGACACCAATTCGTTAAAATAATGTATTTAAGTCTAGACAATAATTCGCACCCAGAAATTAATACGTCCCCCCTTTTATCAACTGTACACCCTTAAAAATAAGTGTACCATCATTTCTATCAACTGCACCGCCAGTTGAATGTAGATATTTTACACAGTTGATGTCGAATGCTTTCGCGGTAATTTTGGATATCATTTGTGAGTTTTGTGATATCGAATTTCGAAAGTTGAACATATACTACGGGACATATTTCCATATTTTTTGTTATATTTTGGATTTTGTCGTGTTCTTTTTCTATTCAGTTTGTGATTTTTGGTGAAATTCAGTAAAAATAATGCGAAATATCATTCAGCATGTGAGGAAAGAAAAAAGCTACTACCGCAAACACATACCACCAAAGTATATCAAAAGATTCGCATTTTATATAAATAAAGGACCAAAATACTTGAATGAGTCACGATATATTTGAAGAAAATAAAAAATGTGTCGGTTTATTCTGTATGGTTAAAATAATTTATTAGAAAGCTGGTAAAAAATGGTAAGTGTTTGTTAAAATACAAAAAGAAGTAGAATAAATCTGAATTACGATAAAAAAAGTATCAATTCTCTTTGCGGTTGAATTTTTTCTCACGCTTCAATCCGGCCAAAAGGTCATAAGCAAAGCCAAGCGTCCATGAGACATTGTGACCCTTCAATTTTTGAAGGAACTGTTGAATGAATGAAAAAACTTTTATCAAAACAAGAATTTCAAAGTGAAATGGATGCATTGAACTCACATTAACTTTGATTTCAGGTTTCAATTCAAATCCGTCGTGCAACAAGACATACATATAAATTAAATCATGGCACAAGAATGGGTTCTTATTATCTTCAACTCTGCATGCTTTTTTCGCACTTGACAGTATTCTGCTTAAAATGGCTTGACCACCTTCTATGGGATCTATTGAAGGAAAATTTGTTCCACTAACTTTGAGCATTTTAATGTTCAATCTGCACTTACCAATCAACCCGGTTTCCTTGAAAACAGAGAAGAAAGCAGAGAAAACATAGATTTCACTTTCATTTTTTAATGGGCTGGGTTTTGGTGTGAGCAAACCCAAAGTTTTCTCTTGTATCAGTTTCATACATGCATCGAAATCAACTGTTCCATTTCCATTCGGCAAACCACTTGAATTTTAATAACAGAAAATTGTAAACATTTGGATTTATTCTATGCTTAAAATTATATTTTCACTCACTGGACGTTATATGCCACGGTTCCAGATACAAATGAAGATGGTTTGGTATTTGGATGCATGCAAATAGTATACAAATCTGTAGCTCCATCAGGATTACCATGACTGGCTACAATTTTTCTAACAGTACGTCCACCCAAATCAGAATAGCTAATAGTGAACATATCTGTTTTTGGGTTGGAAATGCCATTCCCTTTCGATGTTGATAAAGTGTAAAGATGATCGTTTAACCCATGATCGATGGTCTAATTTTTTAGAGGAAATGATAATTCTATACTGGCACCACCGACATCCAATGTAACCACTGAGTCTGGCGAATTCCAACGGCCTGAATTCAAATATCATACACTTAATATGTGGTGATTTCGCTGCACAGAAATTATATATCACCCAATATATAGTTAACCGCAAACCATGAAAATATTCCTTCATCGACACCATCTATAACTGTGGCAGCATTGTCTTTAACGAGAAAACCGGAAACATTGAGCATCTTACGCACTTCTACTAATAAATTTTCGGTCTCATGCGACTTCAGATTTCTAAGACCACCAGTTCCACCCAGTATTACTGGTGTGTTAGCCAACACTTCTGGCCCAAGTTGGAGTTCTTTCTTAATTGTTTCAAGTAATCCTTTTATTTTTTGTGCGCCCTATTTCATGAACGAAATTTAATTTAACTTTTCTTTTGAAACGAAATGAGATTGAAGTACTTATACCTCAGTACAATTTTTGACGTAAGATCCAAGGCCACCGCTTATCTTTGCATATTTTTCGTAGTCGTCTAAAATTAATTCTTCAGTCAAACGGTTAATATGAAATTTGTAGGCAGCAGCTCTACTACCCGCTCAACCAGCATCAATCGCAACAATGTACTGTATATCTATTATAGCGAGATGAATCAATAAAATATATACCATTCATTTCATTCAAATATTCTGATAATTCAGTCATTTATCGGTTTTTGAACTGATTAAAAAGGGATTTGAATATCCAAAAAAAAAACTTATTTAAATGAGGTTACCTGTAGGTTTTATAAAACAGTGAGTCTGAATCACCTAATTTTTGAAGAAAAAAAATGTTTTAGCAAATTGTTATATAACAAAATTATAAATTAAAATATTCATAAGCAACCGACCAGGAATGTTACCAATAAAAACAATTTCATTTTGAGAATTTGTTGATTCTAATTTATTATTAATCCAATTGTTTCTCACAATCAACTGAATTATTTACGCAATATTCTCTCCTTTATATCATATTTTTTTTAATTTTTTCAATTTAAAAATGTTGGAAAGAATTTGAAATGTGGCATACATAGATGGATTAAATGATTGTGATGCAAATGAGAAGTTAAAGAATGAGGAAATATTAGTAACATATGTGTAACACAATATCACACCTTTATATACAGTGGATTCTCGTTTATTTGCAATTCGATTGTTCGAATATTTCAGAAATACGAATTGAATTAGGAAAATCACATTTTTTCATACAAATTACAAATTTTGGATCTCTATAATAATTATAATATAATTAAATATTTTATGGAACCATCGTTTTAAATGACTGTATTTCGTAGAGATTATAGCAGAGCATGAATTTGTCACTCATCCGACATCCATGTATATAATAGTGTTTGCAACGGAGGCGATTTTTCGACTCCGGAGCCGACCTACGCCGAGACTATTAAAACCGATACCGACCGCTTTCCGACCATCTTCGGATCGGATCGGTGTTATATAGACCTGTCAAAACACAGGTAAACCAAACACTCAATATGACCGCTAATTGATATCAACAGGTAAATCACCAGGTATGAATGGTAATTAGCATAGTAATGTTCATTCACAGATTAATTTAATGGAAAGTCTTAAGGAAATCAATTAGATTAAGTACATTTAGTCTGAGAAAAGCTATTATATCCTTTTCATTGGAAGGATTATCATTTAATCCATTTCGGTTGAAAAGGTTGTCAGACACATTTTTGAATTATTTATCTATTTTCTAGGAAAATTTCACCACTTTCATTTTAAATGTTACAGAATACGAGAAAAGTCATTTTACATTCACTAATCTAATATGTGAATGAACATATTACGGCGTTAGTTAACTTACATACCTGGTGACTTACCTGTTGATATCAATTGGCGGTCATATTGTGTATTTTGTCTACCTGTGTTTTCACGGATCTATATAAACGGATGTTGGATGGTCAAACTCATCATTCAACTCACATTGAGCCTTGCGATAACATGGTAACATAAGACTTGTTTTCTGCTAGAATAATTTTCATCTTAAAACGTAAAAGTAAAAAAGCGTCCGTTTAAAAATCAGAGAAAAGTACGAAAAGTTTAAATTAAATTTTTGATAAAACATTTTCGTAAACATGGATTTCATGAAACATGTGAGAAAATGGATTCTGTCACGTCGTCTGCCACGAGAAATTATAGTAGATGTGTTGAACGGAGTCTGCATCGAGGAAATAGTACAACGAATTGAGTATTTGGAGTACTTTTTATCGGTATCTCAGATGTGTCCAGAATTCGAGCAGAGTGCAAAAGACTGTTTTCGAGCTCGATTCAAACACGTTGGAATAATTGATAGTGCAACATTTCCTCCAAACTGTGTGCCATCTAAACGGGCACATGTGCTTCTGCGTACATTTGGTCCATCAATTGAGTCGCTATCATGGACCGGATGCACATCAAATCACGAACGCAACGACCGCATATTCAATTTAATAACGAAACACTGCGGAGAAAAATTGAAGGAACTCAATATCACCTGGTACAATCCAGATTTTGACCAAGTCGAATTCAAATCGTTGGAAAAATTGGATCTGTACTATGCATCGCCACAAAACTTTCGATTGTATTCATCGCTAAAAATTTTGAGCATCAGACAATTGAAATCATTGGAGCATGATAATATTTGGTTTATGCGCAAAATGCCGAACTTGGAGCAAATGGAATTCGATGGCGTTAATGATCTAACGGACGAAATGTTAACGCAATTTTTGTCTCTAAATCCAAAATTGCGATGCTTAAAGGTAAAAGATTGTAAATATATTACGCCATTGGTTTTTGCAGCCATACGAAACTGTGCGCCGAATATCAAAGAATTGGCCATTTTCTTTCATCGTTCGTCAGATTTTTCGGATGCTGTATTGAATGAGAATATTTTACATTTGAGCTTTTTACACAAATTGAAGAATTTGAGCTCCAATTTCGCTCGATATATTCCATTTGAGACAATCAGTAATATGTTTGCTGAAAGCGGTGTTCCAATTGAAGAGCTGTCATTGGTTTCATTGAATCCATCGATTGGCGAAAGTGAACGTATGTTGCAATTGAAAACATTGAAACATTTGAAAATTAGCAGCCCAGTCGAAAGCATTTTCGAGGATGTACTCCTCAATGCGGTTAGAAGTCAAACGTTCTTGGAAACAATCAATGTAGATGTGAACGGTTGGCGAAATATATCTATGTCAACAATTGAACAAATTTTAAAGCACGGCAAAAATCTAACACAATTTTCATGTGAAGTAAAAGTAATGGACATCGATTTAGAGAGCTATGAATCCCTTTTGCAATTGGTCAAAGATCGTGTCAAAACCAAAATTGAAGTTTTTCGCGGTGTGGTTGATGTTCCGGAGAATGTTCTAGAAACAAACCAACAATGGCTTAATGTTAATGTTAGCAACAGAAATTAAAGTAAAAGTGCATTTATTACTAATTACTTGCCATCGTTCAAAATAATTGGTTTAATTTTATTTTTTCCTAAATTTTTTTCTTAAGATATATTTTCAAATTCAAATATTTTATTTGTAATAAATCAAGACTAAATCAATAAAAGATATATCATTTTCATTTATATTTGAAATGTTTATGTTGTTTTTAAATTCTTCTCCATATTATAAAAAATATATTTCAAGCGGTAATTCAATGGCAGTTTGTGTATTAAAGTGGTTGGGTATTTTTCAGACATTCGCAGTTCCTTATTCCATTAGTCTTAAGGTATTAGATGGTATTGATAAAAAAATCTCAGATAAAACTTTAGATGCAGTACTAAAATTTGCCAATTTTTGAAAGTTAATTTTCTACTAGAAAACTACATTACATCGCTACATTATACAACAGCAAACTTTGCCTTCTATTTTTTCCCGACGTAGACCAACTAATTGATCATAGGCGACAGCGAGAGCCCAAGAAATGTCGTGACCATTCAATTTCTGATGAAACTGTATTAAAAATAAAAAAAAAATATTTTTCAAATTATCGTTAAAATATGAGTCGAAAATGTATTGCTTTTACATTGACTTTGGTGTCTGGTCCCAATTCGTATCCATCGCTAAGCAAGACATACATATAGGTTAAATCAAGACATAAGTAAGGATTTTTATTATTTGGAACGCTGCAAGCTTTTTGTGCACTCGACAAAATATCTTCCAATGTTACTTGGCCACCTTCTTCACGATCTATAAGCAAAGGAAAATACAATCTTCCGAAAAAACATAACATTTTTCTCTGTACATACTAATTAAACCGGTTTTTCTGAATCTAAAATAAAACCCAGAAAAGGCATAGACTTCACTCTCGTTTTTCAATGGGCTAGGTTTTGGCGAAAGTAAATGTAAAACTTTTTCCTTCACCAGGTTTCTACATACATCAAAATAGCCTGTCGATTTTTCATGTGGTATACCACTGGAGTTTGAAAAAAATAAATAAATCGAAAATTGTTAAATACATTTTGCATTGGTATACCGCATTTTTTTTTCACTCACTACATGGTATACAATGTGGTGCCGAATTTTTTAAGCGATGGTTTCGTATCTGGATGCATACAGACAGTGTGCAAATGTGTCGCTCCTTCAGGATTTCCATGACTGAATACAGCTAATCGAACCGCTTCGGCACCCAAATCCATATAGCTAAAGCAAAAGTTTACAGAAAAATACATCAGGAGTTATTGCAATTCAAAAATAAAAAAAAGTCCATTTATTTTTACTATGGATAATACCTTGTTGAAAAGACTTTCGCTTTGGCTTTTGGTACTGATGTCGACACAGTGTAAAGATTGTCTTCGATCCACGGATCTTCGCTCTTCCCACTCAATGCAAATGTCACTTGTGTGCTTGCACCTCCTAAATCCAGAGCCACCACCGTCTTAAAATTCTTGGTACCCCAATGACCTGTCATTGTAAAAATGTTATTGTATTTTGAATGCATTCAATTTTGGTTAGAAATCAGCGTGTTAGTGTGCTAACATCAAATAAAAATTCACCAAACATATTCAGAAGGTCAATAGTATTTACAGAGAGGGATATTTTATTTGGTGCATGGAAAATGCTTTTTCGTTTCTCACCTGATATATAATTAATTGAAAACCATGAAAAAATTCCTTCATCCACGCCACTTATGATTGAAGCCGCATTACCTTTAACCAAAAATCCGGAACTTTGAAGTACTTTGCGTACTTCAACTAATATCTTTTCAGCGTGCAGGGGATTTAATTTTCGAAGGCCGCCGGTTGCTTTTAGTACCAATGGCGTTTTTCCCAACACTTCTGATGGAAGATTAAGTTTTTCTTTCAATTTTTCCAGTAAAATTTTTATCTTTTCTGCTGCCTAATTTGTGAATGACATTGACTATAGTAATTGTTATTTCAGATCACTTTTAGATGAATTCTACCTCAGATGGGTCAACAAAAGTGCCAAGGCCTCCATGTTCTTTGACATATTCTTCTCCATCGTCCAAAATGAATTGCTTGGTTTTGCGATTAATGTTGAATTTATAAGCTGTTGCCCTATTTCCTGTTGAACCGGCATCAATTACAACTGAATACTGTACATCGTTTATATTGAAACCACTTGCACAGTTGAACACCTGTGAAAGAAAATGTTTCATTAATCTTCATTAAAAAAAAAATAATTTTTCATTAAGATACTTACATAGCATCCAACCAGTAATGTTGCGAATAAAAATAATTTCATTTTGAGGAGTATTCGTCCGAAAAGCAAAATTAGTTCAACAGTTGCCCGCAAACTAAATTTTCCACGAAGCGATTTTCTATTTATATCAGCCTGATATTATCAGATTTGTTTTTTATTAAACGTAAATCGCTGGGATAATGTTATAACATATATTTATCTCGATCAACGGCAGACTTATCTCAATATATTCAACTGTTCAGATCGAAACTAGAAAAACTATAAAAATCGACTTTTTTCCTAATTGAGATGCTTGTGAACGAATATTAAAACGTAATAAATGTCTGCTTTTTGGCAAAACAGCAAATTGATCGGAATGTATTTGTCATTATTCACTTTAAAATTTCATATCGTTTATTATATTGGAATATTTACGCAAATGGTTTTTCAAACGAAGAACATTGTACGTAATAAAATAATTATATAAATTGTCGTATTTCGCGCACAGCAACAACGTGGAATAGCGCATGACAACTGATGGCGCATGAGAAACTTCAGTGAATCTTCAAGCTAAAACCACGATTTCCGTGATGATGTGTTTCCAAGATGTCGGCATACAAATGTATTGAACTAAAAGTCGACGAAATTCCATGCGAAATGTGGCCTACTAGTTGATTTTCGACATAATATTTAAAAATTAGTGCTGTGAGCACTTGTGAACAGCGCACATATATACTAACACATTGTACATTGCGTATATATTTTTGAAAATATAGTAAAACGGAGAATATTTCGATATCGGCTATTACATCACAATTCGGAGATTACGAATAAATGTGTCTACCCCCTACTAGGGGGCCCCTAGACCTGTAATGCTCGATTCATAGATTGGTTATAGCTTCTGATGGTGTCGATCCAAGGGAGTGGTGGTTCCAAAATTTTCCAAAAAAATTTGATGAGATAAAAACAGGTTCTCAATTTTTTGGCTCAGAAGACCCTAGCAAATCGAAAGAATTTTTCATCAATCTCATTATTCCTTCAACGTTTTACCGCAAATGTAGAGTTCTATTTCGTATCGTTTTAAATGAGTAGTCGGCGTAATATATTGTCTACAAAATTGTGACAATGGAATAAATAAAGTTACACTTTGCAGTATTACATTTATTATGGGTCATGAAATCCACACAAAATGTAAAAAATAATAATTATAATTATGGAGATGGAAAATAATAAACAAATACCTTTTTCGTTCGATCTCTGTATTCCACTTCGATCAAGTGTTTATGAAAGAGATAGAGAGAGAGAGAGAGAGAGAGAGAGAGAGAGAGAGAGAGAGAGAGAGAGTTGTAATTTTGAATTCAACACAAGTGTTTCGATAAAAATGTAAAATAATGGAAAAGTATAAAGATTATTAGGTTGATACGTACACGTTGGCATATTTATTGCATTTTCAGAAGAGTCTTGATCATCGTAACGTAACAAAATTAGATGATTTTTTTAATATTCATTGTTTTTTTCGATAAATATTTTGCAAACGAAAATTTCGTTCACATTTAAAAAATTTAAAAGAAAAAACAGAAGATTACTGCCTCGATTTTAAGTCATTGATATAAAAAAAAATAAAACAACATATTTCTTTGAACCGATAGCTGAAATGCTTTTATTTTTTTCGGTATTATTCAACAGGGTAGTTGTTAATATTGTAGTGTTTTTTTGCTTCTACAAGCGGTTTTCTGTTTTTTGCCCCTAATGCTTGGGTTTTTTGCCACTACCGCTTGGTTTTTTGCCACTACCGCTTGCCCCATCTAGAAACATATGAATTTTGAAATTTATTGAATTATGTTATTTACATTAAACAGCAACAGGTATTAACGAACCATTGCCAACCGGTTTTTCAGCGACTTTCAAACCAGACAATTCATCATATCCAACACCAAGGGTAAATGACACATCATGACCATCCAATGTTTGCTGGAACTGCGTTGAGAATAAAATCAATCGTATTTTAAGAAAATAATCAAGAAGGAATTTTTTAAGAAAAAAAAGAAATTGTAAACTTATTGTAAAAACAAGAGTAAATGTAATTTTATATAGTGTGAAATGTATATTTACGTTGATATTGGTACTAGGTTTCAGTCCATATCCTTCGCTCAACAAGACATGCATGTAGATTAAGTCAAGACACAAGAACGGAGCACCGTCTTGTTTGACACTGCACACTTTTTTCGCACTCGTAAGTATGTCTTCCACAGAAGCTTTTCCACCTTTTTTTCCATCTTTTTTGAACAAAAGAAGAGCATTTGATAGGTCATATATATTTAAAAATATAAATCTCATTTACACTTACCAATCAGACCAACTTGCGGTTTGCTGAATCTGAAGAAAAAACCAGAGAAAGCATAGATATCTTTCACATCTTTCAATGGGCTGGGCCTTGGTTGAACCAAGTTTAGTGTTTGGTCTCTCACTAGTTGTGTGCATGCGTCGAAATCGACCTGTCCTTTGTCATTTGGTATACCTCTGGAGTTTATAAAAAAGAACATTTTATTAAAAATGTTAAAAGAAAAATTTAATTTACACTTACCGAACTTGGTATGTTTTTTTGCCGAAGCCAATAGTAGATGGTACGGTGTCTTGATGCATACAAATTGTCTTCAATTCTGTAGCGCCGTCAGGATTATCATAAGTGAAAACAGCCTGTCGAACCGATTCAGCGCCCAAATTCATATAGCTCGTTGAAAATACTTCAGCTTGAGATTTTGGAAATGGTGTTGACACAGTGAAAACGTGATTGTTTAACGAGACATCATTCTTTTTTACTATCGCCGTCGTAATTTGGGTACTCGCGCCACCCAAATCTAAAGCAGCTACTGTATTTTTTTTACCCCAACGTCCTAAAGTCACAAAAAAGTTCAATTTTTATATGTATTAGCTATGGGTCACAATGCAGACAAAAAATTTCTTACCTAAAAGATAATTAACGGAAAACCACGAAAAAACTGCTTCATGGGTACCGCTTAGGACTTGAGCAAAATTGCCATGAGCCAAGAATCCAGACGACTTGATTACTTCACGCACTGGTGCTAATATACGATCGGCTTCTTCTTTGGAAACCTTTCGAAGACCTCCGGTGCCTCTCAGTATCACTGGCGTTTGTGCTGCCAATTCATCTGTAAGTTCCAGTTTTCCCTTTATCTCTGTCAATAGTTCAGCTATTTTTGCAGCTCCCTATTGTGTAAACAAAATTGAAAGATTTCTTTTTGCAATAAAGTTAAATAAGTTTTCATTGTACCTCAGCGACATCAGGTAAAGTAGTTAGACCGCCCTTGTTTTTCGTCATTTCTTCACGTTCCAATTTGAGTAGCCCTTTCGATGATATACTGTATTTATAGCCAGCTGCTCTGTTGCCCGTTGAACCAGCATCAATTACAACTACATATTTAACAGCTATATAAAAAGTAATTTAAAAACAATACAAGTGTTATATTTCATTTAATTTTCAATGTTGAATTATGTCAATTCAGTACCTGGAGGAGCTCCTGCACAATAGAGAACCTATAGTTTATATCGAAAGTTAGTAATTTTTCACATTTTTCTTCAGAAAAAAAACTCACCCAGCACCCAACCAGTAATGTTGCGAATAAGATTGATTTCATTTTTCAAGAATATCGAATTTGTCAACTCTAAAGAATCAATTGTTTCTCGTAGCCAACTGACTGTTCTACTCAATAGTAGTACTATTTATACTGAGTTTTCAAGCAAAAAACATTTGAAAGAATGTGAAATGTGTGAATTCATAGATGATGACGGAATTTTTTTTTAGAGGGGGGTGATGGCAAAATATCGTCCCTGGAAAAAACTATGGGGGGTTCCTGACGATGTCAACAATTTGTGAGAAATGAGGATAAAATCGTTTTTTTTTTTTGCTCTTCACTTTTTTGG